CCGCAGCCCGTGGAATCGCCCCTGCCGAAGGTGGCCGCGGCGCCGACGCTTTCGCAGGACGCGTTGTACCAGCTGTTCCAGCAGGCAGCCACTCAGAACCAGACCTCGATGGAATCATTGTTGACCTCGCTTGGGTGGACACCCCCCCGTGATCAGGAGGATGCAGCCAAGGCGGCCGTCGAGAAGGCTGCGCAGCCTGTGGAAGCGGCCGCCGCTGAGGCCGCGGAGAAGGACGGCATGGCGGAAGAGCCCGATGCCGACGGAGCGCCAGAGGAGGGCGAGGAGGAGGAGGAGGAGGATGAGGAGGAGGAGGAGGAGGAGGAAGGCGGCGTGAGGGACGAGGATGAGGAGGAGCCCGATGACGCGGCCAAGCCCCCGGAGGGCGGCGCCGCAGACGACGCTGCTGGAGACGCCGAAGATGAGGGCAATGCAGAGGAAGGTGAGGAGGAGGAGGAGGAGGAGGAGGAGGAGGCGGCGGAGGATAACGCAGACGCCTGTGCAGCGGGCGCCTCCGCTGCCAACCTGGAGGCCCTGAAGATCAAGCAGACCGAGGCAAAGCTCAAGGCCGCTGCTGAGGGTAAGTGCAACGCGGGGACGCACAAGAAGGAGTGGGACAGGTTCTTTGCGCGGCTCGATCGGGTATCTATGGGGGTCTCCAGGGATCAGACCCCCACCCCCATGTTTCCTCTCACCTGTCCTGTCCTTCTCAGGGGTGTGTCGAAGATCTGCGATCGTCGACCTGGACTGGCTGAACGCTGGCATTCTCATGAGACCTCCCTGGTTCAGCCAGGGGGGCGCTCGCCTGGGATTAGCTAGGCCAATTCGGCGAATGTACATCTTCGGTGCCCTCAATTCCGCCCCAGCCTCCAGGTTCACGCGGAAGAGGGGGCTGCCGCCGAAGCTGCAGGAAGCGCTGCAGAAGGACAAGCACGGGCTCTTCAACCAGTTCATATTGGTCGGGGAGGACTTCACTCAGCTCGAACAGTACTACGAGAGGACTGAGGAGCGCCGCAACCTAGAGCGGGAGCAGTGGAAGCTCGTGCCCAAGAAGGACCTGGGCTTGTACTACCGCAAGGACCCATCGGGCCGAGCCCACTGAATCGGATGAGGATGCGGAGGAGGAGGAGTAGGAGGAAGAGCAGGGGGATGAGGAGGAAAAATAAGGATGATGATGAGAATGATGAGGAGGAAAATGAGGGGGAAGAAGGAGGTGTAGGAGGGGAAGGAATAGGAAGAGGAGGAGGGGGAGGTGGAGGAGGAGGAGGAGGAGGAGCATAAGAGGGGGGAGGGGGAGGGAGGATGAAAAGAGGGGGGAGAGAGGATGTGAGGAGAGGAAAGATGATGGGGAAGGAGAAGGAGGTAGGAGGAGCAGGAGGAAGACGAGCAGAGTCGCAAATGTTTTGTACCGATAGGAGAAAGTCGACGAAATCATTAAGATCCGCGAAGAGAAGGGCCAGTGGGAGAAGGACGAGGATTTCCCGGACGACGAAGAGAGCCGCCACTACTGGGTCCATCCCCTCCTGCAACCTCCTCCTTGTCAACCCCTCGTCGTCGCCGTCGCCCGTCCTCCTCCTCCTCCTACTCCTCCTCCTCCGCCTCCTCCTCATCCTCCTCGTTCTCCTTCTCATCCTCCCCCTCCTTCTCCTCATCCTTCCTCTCCTCCCTCCTCCTCCCTCCTCCTCCTCCTCCTCCTCCTCCTCCTCCTCCTCCATCTCTCCCATCAACGTCCAGAAGACGGGGGACCCCATCCTCTTCTCAATCCTCCCCCCCTTTCCTCCTTCACCTTCTCCTCCTTCTCCTCCTCCTCCTCCTCCTCCTCCTCCTCTTCCTTCTCCTCCCCATCCTACCCCCTCACTCCTGTCGGTCCCTGCTGGCAAGAAGCTCATGAAGGACCACTCCAAGACAGAGAAAACAGGCCTCAGGTGCGCGGGCGACATCAGCGATGACCCCACCAAGCTGCTCGAGGGCGGGCTCCTGCAGACCCTTCGGCCCTCCGAGGATTCCCATGCGAAGGAATTCTGGAAGATTGTCGGCACCGTCACGAAGCCAAGGACCCAGGGGGGCAAACTATAGAAAGAAGATGGGGAGGATACAGAATGTCCTCTGGCAATAAGTCCACTCGTGAACTTGTTGCATGAGGACGGGGGGGGAGGAGGGGGAGGAGGAGGAGGAGGGGGAGGAGGAGGAGACGGAGGAGGATGAGGAGAAGGTGGAGGACGAGAGGAGGAACACGTGGGAAAATAATGAATCCCTGCCACGATCAACGGACAAGACTTTTCAACTTGACTAGGCTTGCCATGGCCTGGTCAAGTTGGCAACTCTTTTTCCGTTCCAGGAAGACCCCACCCGCCAGCTCCGATGACCATGGGAAGCCGATGACGGTGCGCCAGCTCGCCACAGACACGAACCAGAACGCTTTGAAGGCCATGGTGGATGCCAACAAGGCGCAGGTTTCGATCGATGGCCTGGAGTATTCGGAGACCTTGGTTTCGGCCCTGAAAGACTTCTACGCGAGGATGCTGAAGCTGTACAAAGCCGTTGAGGACTCGGGGGGGTCCTGCCCCCTGCAGCACCTACCGATGTAACGTCCAACCGCAGATCCTGGAAGGGGACCTGGCCCAGGGGACCCCCTTGTCTCTGTAGCTGGACGCAGCCCGAAAACCAATCAGGATCGGCCGATGGGGTCGGCGGGTCGGCGGTGGCCGTTATATTCTCAACCCCTTAAGAAAGGTGTCCTTGGCCCAAGGTGTCCACGCAGATTGACGTGTGGGTTAACTTGGGCCTCCTTGGGACTTTGGGCGCCCTGGGTGCCGCTGAGGCCTCCGTGGGATTCCTGAGGACATCTTGGGCCATGCAGGCTACCTTTAGCGACCCACAACCCCCGTTCAAGGGGAAGCTGCGCGCTGGCAAAGACAAGAAGGAGGACTTCCCCGAGCTGCCGAATATCAGATGCGCTCTGCGTCCACCGCTGTCCCCCTCCTCCTCCTCCTCCTCCTCCTCCTCCTCCTCCTCGCCCTCCTCCCCCTCCTCCCCCTCATCCTTCTCCTCCCCCCTTCCTCCTCACTTCCCCTCCCTCCTCCTCCTCGCTCCCTTCTACTTGTTCCTCCTCCATCGCCCCCTCCTCTTTCTCCTCCTCCTCCTCCTCCTCCTCCTCGGAGGGAGGGGGAAGAAGAGGCGGGGGGGAGGAGGGGGAGGAGGAGGAGGAGGATGAGGAGGAGGAGAAGGAGGATAAAGAGGAGAGAGGAAGAAAGGAAGGAGGTGAGGAGGAGAGAATGAGGGGGAGAAGGAGAAGTGAGGATGACGATGATGAGGAGAAGAGGAGGCGGAGGAGGAGGAGGAGGGAGGATGAGAAGTGAGGAGGAGGAGAAGAGGAAGAGGAGGAGGAAGAGGAGGAGGAGGTCCGGCCACTGTTTCCAATTCGTGCCCCGGGGTCGTCCCGCGGATCACCAAAGAGCTCGAGTGGTGGGAGGAGAGGAAGAAGGTCGCGAGGGGCATGCAGATGCAGGCTCTGAAGGGCAAGGAGGATAAGGGTGAGAAGAAGGATAGCGCTGGGAAGAACATCGGCGGCAAGCGCAGGCGTACTGGCCGATTGGCTGAGTAGGCAGGCTGCGTCAACCGTGCGATAGGGGCGCGATGCGCATTCAACGTTTGCAGTTGCTTCCAATCGGTGACAGGGCCGGGGAGCGAAGCAGTTTGCAGTTGCTTCCATTCAGCGTTTGCAGTTGCTTCCAATCCAGTTTGCGGAAGCGTGCATAGTTGCTGGTCGGGGAGCCGCCGTCAGCCACCTCACCACTCATGACAGTGAAATCCTCCCACACCTTCGGACGGCGGCTGGAATCCAGCGCGCGCTGGCACGGCATTACATCTTCGGGAGTTGACTGGGCCCCTCTCAGCGCGATGCGCCAGCAACCCCTTCTCATCGCGAGCCTTCGGGGCCGCGTCGGGTCGCTAACGCATGCTCGCTCGGAAGGTCCCATCCAATGCCCGCTTGAATACTACTTCTTTTGGAGTGTAGGGAGGTGAAAGGGGCGGCAAGGAACGCATCTGCTCGCGACCCGCGAGCACTTCGCAAGCTCGACTGGCGCGGGGATGCAGCGTTTGGAAATCGACGCCTTGCCCGCGGCCAAGGATGAGGATGATGATGAGGAGGGCCCTGCAAGGGTTTGATGGATTTCTGGCCCGCGGACCTTCGCTTTTCTGGATCGACGGCCCCACAAGGGGCCCAAAAAGCGCCGCCGAGGAGGAAGGAGGAGGAGGTGGAGGGACAGAGGAGGAGGAGGAGGAGGAGGAGGAGGAGGAGGAGGAGGAGGAGGAGGAGGAGGAGGA